ACACTGTAACCTCGGATGACACCATTGGCATTGTTGCCAAAAGTGACATTTCCACCATTGCATATAGGCCTGAAATACCGAAGGTACTCTAACCTTCCGGTCATGTGCAAGGAGCAGGCACGGTCAATTAACCATTCTTCTTCTTGTTCCTCCTTGCACAAAGCCTGAGAATTACACGGTTAGTTTAGGCATCCAAACAAGTTTGGAGCCAAGGATAATTGATGTATTCTTAAATGATGCATATTCCGAGTTTGCATGAACATTTCTTTTGTTAACTTTTAGACCTAGTCCTGGGTGTTTGTTCAGATTTGGATTGTTGCGAGGTTTTTGAAAAGTATGAGGTTTCTGACTTTGATTTGATTTGACATGAGATAAAACCTTTTGACAGTTGCACTGACATTTACAAAAAGAAAGTTTGTCATTGAATCTGACATTGTGCTTGGTCAATAGTTTATAGAGTGAATTGGACTTGGTATTGGTCCGAGGTGGGTAATTTCTAAAAGATTTGACATTTGGTGTCTGAAAAGTTTGTTTTGAACGGAGTTTTGGACTGTGAGATTTGGCATGCATGTTGTTTGGTTTCTGAAAAGTTTGTTTTGAATGAGGTTTAGCATGTGTAAATCTTTGAGTCCCTTTTGGTGGATTTGGTAAGATTCCCTTCCACTTGTTTTGATGTGATTTTAAAGTGTTGGAGTGGGTAAAATTCCTTTCCAATTAGGGTCTTTTGAGGAATAGACTTGAAAAATGTAGTTTCTCACAAGTTTGACACCTTTTTGGGTTGTGTCAGAAGTAGCAGGAGTGACTTTTGAAACTGAACTTCCCTTTTTGCTTATTTCCATGAAAGAAGAGTTTTTTGAAATGTAGCTTGTGAAAACAAATTTTTCTGGACTCTTAGATTTTGGAATTCTCAAATGCTTCTTATTTTTTGAAAAACTTTGTCTGCTTGTGCCTCGAGATCTAATTTCTTCTTTGAAAGCCCTTTTTGCCAAGGATTTTGGTGAATCGTAGTCATTGTTATTCAACTGCGGTTTCCTGGAACCTTTTGAACGATTTTGAAAACGTGGGCTAGAATCATCAGAACTTGAGGGTTCTGGAATTTGAGAGCATTGGCCTACTTCAAAATTTTCTATAGGTAACTCATGAAAAATTGGCTAAAGAGTTGTGGTTCCTTGAGCTGATGGTTTTGGTAGAGATGATTTGACTACCGCAGAGTAGGTTTTAGATGAAACTGTGCTGGGACACTTCTGGAACATTTCACTACAGTGTGGCACACTGTGGTCTGAGGACAAAGATGGAAAGTCCTTTGAAATTTCGGGGCCTTCAACAACAATTTCTTCATCAACTACGGATGAAGTTTGAGAATTTGAATGAGTGGTGCCACAGATGAGAGTTTGATCACATGTGTGACTAGAATCCTCGGGCACAATTTCCTCAACGACATAATTATTGCTCAAATTGTGTAATCTACCGAAGTGAGTTTTGATATCTTCTGGAAAACTCTTGTCATTGACAGGGAAATGAAATTCTCTATCAGGAGGGACATACACTCTGTCTTTATTGAACCGGGGTGAGGAATCCATTGCGGTAGAATACCCATTTGACCAAACCCAATTATATGTATTGTCCACGGTTCCATTGTTTACCAAATTTTCAATAGCCTCACTTTCATTAAATAATTTTTCAATTAAGAGATTTAAGCGTACAATTTCTCTCTGAGCTAAATCTCTCTGGTTCAAGGCTATCTCTAATTGGGTTTCACTTAACATTCTAGCATCTTTCTCTAACTCTAGATCCTTCTCTAACATTGCCATCTTAAGTCTCCTATTATCTAGTCTTCCTCTCACATGAAACATCTCTTGGGATGAAATGTTCTTCTCATCTAGGGCTATCTTATAGTTTGTAAGGACGGCAACACAAGTGTCATTAAGATCATCTATGTAGGGTTGACAGTCATGTATACTATAATTTAAATTTTAGATCATGAGTTTTACCTATTCAACGATGCTTAGAGTCCCATCCTTTGCCATGTAGCAGTAATTTTTGTTCAACATTGCTAACCCATCATCATCCGTAGTGGCCAGCATGCAGATTTTCCCTTTTACTTTAACATTGCTGATGGTATCTTCTTCATCTCCTGATGACCAAACTTGATGGTCTCTTTTAATGATTGAGTGTGGAGAGGTGTTCTTGACTGAAAATTTTCGTGAGTTTAGAGAGAGAGGAAGAGAGTTTAAGAGTTGAAAGGGTGGAGTGTAAGAGAGAGTGAAGAGAGAAGTGGAAAAGTGGGGAATAAGTCTTAATGATTGAGTTTTAGGAAGAGAGAGAGCATGGGGAGAGGGGATGGCCGGATTTTGTGAGCATTAAAGCCTCCTCTCTCCTAAATTCAAACTTTATAAAACTCCCTCCTTAATTTTTATGAAACCCTAATTTTTATAAAAGTGTTTATTAAGGCAATTCTTGATTTATTTAAAAATCTTGTTTTTTAACTAATAAATTATGATTAATGTATGATAATTTAAATTTCTATTTCATTGATTATAATCCATAATTTGATTAATAAAAATTTGATATTAGGAAGTTTATAGCCAATTTTATAAAGTTTTTAATCTTTAAGGTTTATAAATTTGGATTTTAGCTCTTTAGGGTTTTTGGAACATTGTTTGATATTCACTATCATATTGGAATGAAATTAGAATATTTTAATTTATTTTTAGGGTTTTATATCCTTTTTCAATTGTAACAAAGTTTGAAGTTTCATTCTAATTATGGTATTGGCATTTTCTATTGTAGTTAAGCAACTTACTAGAATCGTAAGAGTCAAGTATATTAGTCCTAGATCTTAGTTGGATCCTAGTTTATGCAAGATTTTGACCTAATTTATACTACTAGGCCATGGCATGTTGTGCATGAATGGTTTTTATAAAGATGCATAAGTCCGAGAATGACCTGAATTGACAGTTGTCACAGTGACCAGCTCTAACTGTGCGAGCAAGATGTTCATGACTTTGATGTATGACATCTACTCAGGAATCAACTTGGATTACGGGTCTGTTCTCTGGGCCCAGTTGGTTTAAAGCACTCTTTCTACCACACAACACAATGAAATCTCCTATACTCATTTCTGGACAATCTTCGTTCAAAGGGCGATTAGCAAACTTAACATTTTGGTCTCAGAAGGGTCCTATATGGCAGCCATTCAAATCTTCCACACCACCAACATCATCCTCGCAGACAACTCAAAGTTCATTTTCATCGGCTCTATTCCTGAAGCAATGCTTCATGATGTTCCGCCAGAGATTGATGTACTGCGAGCTTATCGCAGATTCCCGTATCAGGCTTTTGCCCCTTGACAAATGAAATGCGAAAGATCCACGAAGAAGCGGACAAACCCAAGAAGGGAGGCAAGAAAAGGGTACGACAGTTGGTCTGACTAAACCAGTCCCATCTCCAAAGAAGGGTGGGAAATGAAAAGATGATGTCGAACCTTCCGCACCAGCTCAAACACCTAAAAAGAAGAGAGTAAGGAAGATGGCTCATCAACCACGAACTCCAACACAAAGCGATCATGAGGACTCGAAATCTCAAATGGTTTCAGATGTTCCTAGTTCACATAAAACTCATAACGAAGAAGATGTTAAATCTCAATCGAAGGTTTCGGAGCCTGTTACTACGAACACTGAGGTAACTCTCGAGATTGCTAGGATGAAAATCCTTAAAGATCGTTTAGATTCAAAAAAATTCAAACAAGAACAAAATGATCTAAATAATTCTGAATGATTAATTGTCACGCCTCAGAAGAACTTGACAAAAAATTGCTACGGTAGAAGCGTGATTAGAGTTATACAATAATATCAAAGTTAACAAAAATAAGATGCATGCATGCACCTTAAATACTCTAACCCTAGAATTAAATACGAGATGGACAATCCCAAACATTTAGATAACAAACCATACAAAAAGCCTAATGATGCAACATCTAATACCCAACAATCTCCCCCTTTTCGTCATTTGAGGAATGCGAACATGAATTTTGGATTCGCTTTTGTACTTCAAAAACCTTCGGCATTATGCTCAACAATGCTTTATGAACCTGGACATACCAACGAATCATGTCTGAGAAGCATTTCTTATCACCTTCACTATTTCCCTTCTATTTGTTGACAAGATCCAAGATGGAATCAAGACAAGATGTGGTGTATAAGTGTTTTTCTGGGAGGAAGAAACACGTTTTGCGATAGTCAGCATCATTCTTATCCCTCGCTTGAAAGACAACATACCAGCTTTCCTTGTAGAGTTTTCTAATCTTCAACTATTCAAACCCCTCAGGAGCTTCCTTATGAACTGTAGTATGCTTTTTTCGTAACACTGCAGCTATCCTATATCCAGAATGCCCACCTCTTGGATATACGAAATGATAATAAGCTTAAGGTGATGGATGATAGGTTCGTACTTTTGCACGTCTCACAACAAAAGATTATAGAGAATTATCTAATCATAAGGATTGATAGATGGTAGTTCTATGTGAGTGAACTCCTGAACATGACTCGTAGAGCCTATGACAACTTTGAATTTGGCTTAGGAAAACTGTCAGTCTCGATTGGTCTGGTTACCTTCACTGCCGTGATTTTGATGGCACTCCAAGTTTCGTATTGCTGCCTCATGTGCTTAAGATAGAATTGGAAATGAAGTTGATCACCATCATTATCAAAGACAGCAACATTCACAACATTGATGAAAGAATGAAATTTGAAGGCTTTAGATATAATTGGAAGATCCAGTTGCGAGTCCTGAGTATTTTGGAGGTCGAACGACACAACTGGTTCTAGCCAATACTAATTAGGTGAATCAATAGCTTGAATTTGAATCATTTTTAAATTCCAAATAGGAAACAAGAGTTTCCTGCTTTCAAGAGCGGACCTTGATTCTTTTTCAGCTTTCTCCTTAGCTTCAGCCTCTCTCACAATTATTTGATTCTCATCTAGTTGAACCTCACAAGCCTTTCACCTTTTGAGTTCTTCTTCATCAAGCTCTTCTTCATCACCGTTATCAACTATTGGTTCCTCATAAAAAAGCTTTTCTTTGCCTTTTGGCTCAGATTTGCTCTTAATGCTTGGCTTGACTGAAGTTGTTGGAGGCTTTTTCAATGAAGTTGTTGAAGGCTTTTTCGGTTGATCTCCCCTTTGTTTTGGAATAACAGAAGGTTCCGGAATACCCTCCAAGTGGAGTAACATAGCAAACATAGGTCTTAGCTTTTCAGCAAGATGCTTCAGAACAGTAATTGTTATCATTGGATCCTTGGTCTTGATAATGTCTGAGATGAAACCATTAACATCAGATATACAACTTTTCATTATTGCCTTCTCGGCGATCAGATCCTGAATATCTTTCTCAACATGTTCAAGGTTAACAATGAGAACTTTAACTTTTTTAGTTTTAATGGAAAGGGAGTCCATTATCTTGCTTTCCATGGCGAGATCATCCTAAAGTTTAGAGAGTTGAGAAGAAATGGATGATTTGAACTCTTCGTGATCAGTGGTGATTCCAGTTCGGACTTCTTGCAGTTTTGTTCTTTCAGCCTTAAGAGATGAGCCAAGATTTGCAATTGTTTCATTAGCTCTCAATATGTTGGGCTCAAAAGAAGACTATAAGTTGTTCATAAACATAGTAGCATCAGAAATTAGTTTATCGACTTTTTGGTCGTTTCGTTGCAAACAAAGGTAGAGGCATTCACAACATTGTTCATCTTTTCGAGATTAGATGAATGCTCCTTGGTGAGGGTTTCAATAATGGAGTTAATGGAGACTTGGGAGTACTCATCAGAAAAAGAAGGTTTAGAAACCTGAAGCAGAGTGTCAAGATTGTCGTTTATTGCCTTCATTTTCCTCTTTTGTAACTGGTGCTTCATCATCACTTTCGTTGCGAACAGTGAATGGGCTATGAGTAAACCCTGCCAACTCATCTTCATCATCACCATAGATCATGTCAGGATCATTTCGATGTATTGGAGAAATAGGTGGAGAGACATGAGATGATTGAAAGCCTGAAGTTTTAGCCCCCACATTAGATGCATTGACTGAAACAACAGGTTCTCCAGAAGTCATTGGAGGAACAGTGGAATCTATGTATAAAGGTGTAGATAAAGGACTGGTGCTTTGAGTTTGAGATGAAATAGATGGAGGGCATGGTGCAATGGTGATCGGTGTAGTGGTAGGTTTAGGAGAAGGAGGAGGAGAAGGAACAAAATCATTGTGAGTTTTAGTTACCACATGATCAGAAGTGGATTTATCATTGCGAGCAGACTCTCCCTCCTCATTGTGAACATGTGGTTCTTCCTCATTGTGAATATTTGACTAAGATTCAGACTCCAAACTTTCAATTTCGCTTGGAGTTGGGGACTTGCGCTTGTGAGCAGGTTGCTTTTGCCTTTTAGGAGCAACAGCTTGTTGAGAGAAAAACTTGCAGACACACTTGAACAAATGTTAGAACAAGTATCTTGCGGAATAGTTAATCTCAAAGGATCTAAAAGCTCAACAATAATATAGTTAGATAGTTAGATAGTTAGTTGCGGAAAGTAAGGAAATATAAATGATAGCAATTGTTATATTAAGAATACACTTAAACTGATTCATAACAAGGAATGCATTCACTCCGAGTTAATAAGGAAGATCAAGTTTAGTGATTAAGTCTAGAAGACTTGCTCCGAAGAGAGGTTACGTTTCAGTAGCAATTTAGAGTATGAATAGTAGTAAGATAGATGAATGAAGAAGATAACTTGTGTATTAAGAAGTTATAAGTTATATCGAATATATCAGAAAGAGTCTCTATTTATAGAGTCTCAGAAATAAACAACTACTCTATAAGCAGTCGTGCAAGGCATGCTGGATAATATAGTACATTACATAAAGATAAGAAAAGAAATAACAAAGGACTGCGGATGCTAAAGACGAGTTGACTCCGAGTGCTGAGATGAACGCTGATGGTGAGCAGTTGTGGTAGATAGATGATTGCGGTATCTTAGTTCAAGAGGGTCACTTTTATGTTTCAACAAGGAGAAACTTTTGCTTTTCGCTTTGTAGGTGGTTTCACAGCTGTTGAAGGTCGTTCTTTATCAGTTGTTTCCTTCTCTCCCTTCTTTGCACCCTTTTGTCCCCCTTTCTTGGGTTTTTCCACCCCCGCTATAATTGCTTGCATTTTAGGAGTTAAGGGACGAAACCCTGAAGGAGTCAATTTCCTTTATCCCTCCAAGATTTTGCTAGACCCAGGCACATCACGAAACATTGCCTTTGGAATTGATCCAATGAAGGAGAATTTTAGAGAATCAGAAACGATAATACCAATGGTGTGAAAAGTAGAGATTGAAGCCATCATTGCATCTTGCATCAGTGGGATCTTAAGCTTTTTAATGGACCTTTGGACAATGATGGTCCAAAAATGCGCACAAGGGATTTCACTATGACGTGAGGTAGAGAGGGTGCTCTGAACAACCTGAGCCCATATAACGGACCCATAATCGACATTCAAACCTGTGTAGAGAATGTAGAGAATCGCCATCAACATCTTACTGGCACAGTCGGACCCAGTCACCCTTTCATAAAAACCTTTGAATAGTAAAGTGCAAAGACCATTCCATTGAGGAGGCATGTATGGTTTCCTGAATTTTGAGATGGCGCTTAGGGTTTCTTTGTAGCCCATTTGGTAGAACATCTCTAGAATGGCTGCACTAGACACCGTTTTTGGGTTGATCATGTCATCTGTCTGTGGAAGCCTTAGAAGTGAACATAATCGAGTTTTGGTGATGGAAGATATGTGATTGAGAATTTCGAAAGTAATTCTTTGTTCTTCCTTGATATAATTGGTAGAGGAATAAGCTTTAGATAGGATCGACATTGGGACATTCTCCATCTTGGTGAGTGCAACATTCAATGGAGAATACTTGATACATTCAATGATTGGAAGCATAAAACTATCATACTTGCATGGCTCGAGATCGATTATCAAGTTCTGATGTTGCTTGATGGCTAGTAGGGAGGTGTGTGACGTTTGATCTTGAACAGAGACATTTTCAGAGGAACCCGCCATTGTTGAAGCTTGAGAAAGAAGATAAACAATTTACACTTTGATTGTTGGAAATCTTTGAGAGAATTTTTGAGTGGTAAAGAATGAAGAGTCGTCAAAATCCTTATATATAGATTGATTTGTAAGAGAAATCAGGAGAGAGAATACATCGGTTACTAAAACATTTCCTGAAAAAGCGCAACTTGACAACTGTAGATGTCATACCTATGCGTCATACAACGTTAAAGTAGTTTTCTATTCTAAATTTCACGAGCCCATTTGAATTTTTATTGATTGGAATTGTCGTGTTAGCATTTCCCCTTTCGCAATTATAATTCCCCAGTCTCCTATGAATACGAATTTCATTTCAGGAGAACAATAGTTAAACTACAAACCTGAAAATAAATGTTAGCACCACGAACTAGACCTTTTTGAAAATCATAAAGATTTTCGTGTAAGAGTGTCAAAGATAAATAAATAAAACAACACTTTTTATGTAGGATTTTGTAATGTCCAACAAAGACACAAAACTATGGATCCCGGGCATAGATCTCTTCCTTCAAAGTCAAGAGAGACTAAGAAGTATCTGTGTGGTTTCCCGTTGAAATACGATCAAGTGTTTGATCAGACACATTGAAAGGCATCTTCTAGTACGCTTATAAGGTGGCTTCACATTTATCCAAACTCCGAAACTTGACATAAGTTCAAGAGTTGAACAAAGTATTCGTGTGACCGATGTAGTCAGTTGAACGAGTAGGTTTGGAATTATTTTGGTGACAATATTAAATTCTGAAATCTCAAAAAAAAAAAAAAAAAAAAAAAAAAAAAAAAAAACAAAACAAACAAACTGGATCTTATGGGAAGAGTGGATTTCGTTAATTCCATGGTGAAAATCTTGAGCAAATAGTTCACTGTCAATTCAATAAAGTGTTTCGGATTTTGGGTTTCACTTAGTTTGCGGTGGACGGAGCTAAGATCATTAACACAGATGTTGTGTAACCATAAATCTCAGTGGTATTGCTGAGAGTCTCCATGGTTACATTCATGAGTGCGAAGGCAGTGGAGAAGTGTGAAGATGGTTCCAGAGAAGTGAATGTACCTCTACTATGCAAAAGCGACCAAGTAGATAACTCTTAACTCAAGGCGAGAAGAGTAAGGTAGCTCATGACTGATGTGATTTTAACATCCTGATTGGGAAGAAACGATTGGTAGAATTGGTTCACTAAGGCTTCACATCAAGTCTATAGAGGCTTTGAACAACGTGCAACAACATGCTTCTAGGGACACTTATCTAATACATACATAAAGAGATTTATACCTACCACATCACACGAATGTGTGCCTCCATGATCTTCTTAAGATATTTTTGGTGTTTTTGAGATTTGTGAAAACAAAAGAAATAATAAAATAAACACAAATAGAACATTTTTGTATTTTGAGATTTCCTTAAAAAGAATAAAAAAATTGAAAAACGAAATAAAGATGAGAAATAATATACATAAAGTACAAAAGGATATTGAAAAATCCAAACCACGACTAAACAGTTGACTGCGAATCACTACGAGCGTTTGCACTGATTCGCTGTGTTAAAGTAGACTACAAATGAACAGTGGACTACGAACTACTGCGAACGTTCGCACCGATTCATAGTATAATCATTATGTATGCGAAAGTGGTTTCGGAACATATTCAGTTTCCATCATTCCTAATCCTTGTAGAATTCTATTGAAGGTGGTTTCAGGAAAGGCTTTTGTGAGTATGTCAGCTAACTAATCAGAGGATCTTATGAAATGTATTTCGACATTTGCATCTTCCACATGGTCTTTGATGAAGTGATATCTCAGTGTTATATGTTTAGTCTTTGACTATTGCACTGGATTGTGACAAATGCGAATGACACTTTCAAAGTCACAGTATAGTGGGATTCGTTTCATGCTTAAGACATAATCACAAAGTTGGCTTTGAATCCAAATGACTTGGGATGTACATGAGGCAGCAGCTATATATTCAGCTTCAGCTGTTGACAAGGATACACACGTTTGCTTCTTGGATTCCCAGCTGACAAGTTTGCCATAGAGAAATTGACATCCTCCAATTATGATCTTTGTATCTAATCCACATCCCCCAAGGTCAATGTCTGAAAGCGCTTGTACGAAGAAGCCTGAGTTCGCAGGATTCCAAATGCCAAGAGATGAGGTTCATTTCAAGTAGCTAAAGATATTCTTGACGACCACCATGTGAGGTTTGTGAGGATTTGCTTGGAACCTAGCACAATAACTACCGGAAAACATAATGTCTGGTCTACTAGCAGTTAGATACATCAACGATCTTATCATCTTACGATAAAGGGTCATATCAGCAGTTGGTTTTTCCAGAGATGGTGTTAGTTTCATTCTAAATGCCATTAGAACCTTCGCTTTAGAGTCCCCCACCATGCCAAACTTAGTGAGCAAATTCATCGTATATGCTTCTTGATTAATAAAAATTCCCTCCAGTCCCTATCTTATGTTTAATCAAAGGAAAACATTAATTGGATCCATGGAGCTCATCTCAAATTTAGTTACCACCAACTTTCAGAATTTAGTTGTTAGACTAGGATTCGTAGAACCAAAAATGATGTCATGAACATAAATTTTGATGATCATTAAGTGGCACCCTCTTTCTTGAGAAAGAAGGTTGGGTCAACTAAACATTGTCTAAATTTGGACATTTTAAGGAAACGAGTGAGAGTTTCATACCAAGCTCTTGGAGCTTGCTTCAGACTGTATACTCCCTTGTCTAAGATGTAGCAGTGATTGGGATACTTCTCGTTTAAGAACCCAGGTGGTTTTTCCATGCATATAGTTTCTTCTAATTATTCGTTCAAGAATGCACATTTAACATCCATCAGAAACACCTCGAAGTTCTTGTGTGTTTCATATGCCATGAAGATGCGAACAGATTCCAACCTTGCAACAGGTGTGAAGGTTTCTTCGTAGTCGATACCTTCTTCCTGACAATATCCCTTAACCATGAGTCTTGCCTTATTTCTTATAACATTCCATTCTTTATCCATTTTTTTGCGAAACACCCATTTTAAACCTACAACTGATGCATCTGGTGGTGTTGGAATTAGTCAACAAACATTGTTTCGTTCAAACTCGTTGAGTTCGTATTGCATTCCTTGCACCCAATCAAAATGATCAAGAGCAACATTAACTGTTTTAGGCTCTACTTTGGAAACAAAAGGGTTAAACATACAAAATTCCACTTTAGAGAATAATGCAGTTTGTTTCACTTTTTGGTGATCTTGTAAGAACTCCTGCAGAAGATTAACCAATTACTTGAATTCTTGGGTGATCTCTGGTCCATTTAGTTAACAAAGGATAGTTTGGATCATATGAGGGATCCAGTTCAGCATTTACTTTTTCGAATTCTGATTGAACATCCAAATCATTAGTCACATCTTAATTCTCCCCCACGAATGACGAGAGGTCTTTTTCTTTAGGAATTAGAGTATCTCCTGTGAATGGTGGTTTGTGAGTCATTGTGGGAGGTGAGTCATCTTTATCATATGAGGGATCCAGTTCAGCATTTCGCCTTTTCTTTGTGACTTTAAGAGAACTGTGTTCGTCTACTTTTCTATAATCTCAGATCCTTCGTCATCAAATGAGACTTTCAAGCCCATCCCAACAACCAGCTGCGAAACACTTATGAGGTTGTGTTGCAAACCTTCTACATAAGCGACCTTAAGAATCAAAAAATCTCCATTAATTATCATCCCATAACCTTTAATTCTTCCAAAAGAGTTGTTTCCATATTTCACATTTCCATCATCTTTGAGAGTACGAAATTCTCGTAATTCCTCCTTCCTTCCGGTCATGTGACGTGAGCAACCACTGTCGATGTACCATTCTGAGTCAAATTTCTCGTCACGAATTACCTATGAAAATCAAGCAGATTTAGGAACCCAAAGTTTCTTGGGTTCTTGTGAGCCTTTTACTGAAAGAGGAAAAGCAATTGCAAGATCAACCATATAAGTACGTTTAATTAATGTGGTTTCATCTTTGTTTGTTATGGTGAAAATTTTTATTTTATATTTTATGTTCGTTTCTTTTGGAAAAAGGTTGTTTTTGTTTATTTTGTGTTTGACTCTTTATGAACCCTTTCTCAGCTTTCCATGAGTAAGTTGTCATTTTCTTGATTGGAACATCAGAATCCGAAATTAACTTTCCTTTTCCTTTTTCATCCTCCGATAAGACTTTTTTGGGTAGAGGATGATGAGGTCATGGATTCTTCATAGGGTTCTTTGAAAAAGAAGGTTTTTAAACAAAGTTCATTTTGGGTTTCTATGGAGTGTGAGAGTGACAGTGCAAACACTAACTAGGGTTCGCATGAGAACAAGCTTTCGCATTTTGATTAGAAGACCTTTTATTGTGAACATAGTTGGGATTTTGGGATTGCCAAAATTGCTTCCTTTCATTGAGATTTCTTTGATATCTCAAATTTCTTTGTCGTTTTTTATCTGCAAGTTGCTCTGAGGATTTGTGAATGTTCACCTTAGGTCTTGCTTTTCTTGCATGAGATTTGTTCATTGCTGACTTAGGTTCGCTTTGAACATCCTTAGTTCCAATTGGACTTCCTTTTTCAAAACTTGAATGATTGTTCAGTGGTCCTACCACATATCTTCCATTCACCTTCCAAGAGGTCATTCTGATAGATGCTTCGTTTCATCTGCATTGTCTATTAGAGCTGACCAAAAGTACTCATCACAATCATCTTTGTTGTCTTTGTTGACGATGGATGTTAATTCAATAGTTTGATTTTTGTCCACTCCGTTAGTTTGAATGACTTGATTAGGTATATAGTCTGGACTTTAGAAAAAACATTTGCTTTTGCTTTTAAAATTTCTGGTTTATTTTGAGAAATGCGAGCGAACTCAACAAAATTTTCAGAAATCAAAGCTTTTGCAGGTTTAGTTTCAGTTTTAACAAACTATGAGCAATCTATCTCATCCTCTACAAAGATTTCGCTCATATCATTTTCCTCATCAAATTCAGATGTGCTTTCAACATTTCTTTCGTTTTCTGAACTCAATATGGCACTCAATGAATTGAATTTCTTTATGGTATCATATTTGATTTGCTATTTATCTTTTTCGTCCAAAATTTGTTTTAGCATATCATTATGGTCTTTGGTCTTAGTGTATGATTCAATTTTCTCCAGTCCAACTATGTAAGCATGAGAGGTTTCATCAGATGAGATGATGGATTCGTATATATAACAATCGACGTCAATTTTCAACTTCCTTTAATTCAAGAAATGGTAAAATCATCTTGAGAATTTTCTTAGCAATCTCACAATCAAGGTGCAACTGAGTAATGTTAAAATAAAGCCTTTTAGCAATTAAACAAAAAATGTTATGTTTTTTTAAAAGCATTAAATTGTCTCATTGCAAGTAAATTAATTGATCCCTAGACTTAGACAAATCTAACTCGATCCTCTCTATCCACATTCACCTCTCATCTCTTTTCGACGAAACCCTGCTAATTTGATCGTCAGGCTAGAGTTTTTCAAACGAGTTCTTTTTTAAACTATCATTAATGCTTGAAAAGGTGAATTTTAGGTCATTTAATTCAGTCTCGTATCTAGATATAGGTATATTGAGAATTAGATTTACCTTGTTAATCAACTGGTCGCACTCATTGATTTCTTCAGGAACTGGTCTTGTTGCAAAACAACTATCCTCTCCTCTTTCATTCTCAATTGCACTCCCCATGCATCTGTGACCTTTCATTCATCACCATCAAGCATCTTCCTCCAAATTGCGAACTCTCTTATTTCGCAATGAACGCCTTGCCATGTGCGGGCCTGCGAACCTCGTCATCTTCGGAGTCAGTCGACCAGATCTCAACTCCTGCAAACTCATTTTCTACTACATTTTCCTACACAATCAAAGCAGGCATAGAGTTATCACCATTCTTCTTCTTCTTGATTTCTTCTAGCTTTTGCATATGCTAAGCCTCATCATCTTCTCCTTCCTTCTTCTCATTTAACCTTCTCAACATGCAATCCTTGGCCAAATGATTTTTGCCATGAAAATAGTTCCAGTCATAGCCAGAGTCCCCCATGAGCTTCTTCTCCTTTTTGTCTTCATCCTTTTGAGAAGCTCTTTTATTCTCTTCTTTCAGCTTTTAGAGTTGTAGCTGCCCTGCCGGTTTCGTTTTTTGTTTGAGGGGAACTTTTTCCTTGCGAACCTCTTGGGGTTTGAAACAATTAAAGCAAACTCCTCATTCGTAAGTTCGTATTCAGATTAATCAAAATCAGACCCATCATCTGCAACTATCTTGCCTTTCTCAACAAGGGCTAGAGATCCCATTCCAAAAACAACTTTTGCTTCTTTAGTCACCTCACTCTCATGTGCCTTCAAGATCCTAACAAGCTTGGTTAAGGAATAGTTTTTAAACTGCTCATTCGCCTTGATAGTAGAAACCACTGCCCTCCATTCAGATCTAAGCCCGTTCATGAATGTAACCTTCTATTTGATTACTTCTCTTCCAATACCATGTTTCATCATCTTACTCAGAAGATGATTGTAATGATTGAACGTCAAAACCATAATTTCTTCAAGCTTTTGTGCGAAGGCACCAAATTCTGAAGACAAGAGCGTTTGAGTAGAGTGCTCAATATCTGCATCAGTGGGGTAGAGTTCCTTGAGCCTATCCCGGATGGCTTTACCAATATTACATCAACTGACTAGATGAAAAGTATTAGCCTCCAAAGTGAATCTAATGATCCTCATTGCCTTAACGTTGTTGATTAACTTCTCTTTCTCGTCCTGAGGAACATCCTTTACATCAAGGAGCAGTTGGTTGTATTCCTTCTAAGTTTTAATTTTCCTCTTTGTTCCAGTATGAACAAAGGCACCTAGAGTGATAGCTTCCCAGATAAGATAACCATTTTCCTCCAGACCAAAAACATAATCTTTAAAATGAAGAGCACAAACTTCATATTCATTGGGAAACAAGATAGGAATCCTTGTGGTTAAACCAATAGCGCTAGATAGATTAAATAAGTTGAAGTTAGAATCGTATTGTTGCATGATGATAAGATCTATAAAACTTGTTAAGAATCAGATGTGTAAACTAAGACAGATTAAAGGGTAATATTAAGATCATTGTATGCCATCAAAAACACAATAAAGACGACTAACCAAGATCCTATATTAACAAAAACACTAATAACTCAATAAACAAAAGAGATGCATATAGATTACACAGTCTCCTGCTTTGTTACCAATTGTTAGGATGAAAATCCTTAAAGATCGTTTAGATTCAAAACAAGTAAAACAAGAACACAATGATGATCTAAATAATGATGAATGATTAAGTGTCACGCCTCAGAAGAACTCGACAAAGAATTGCTACTGTAGAGGTGTGATTAGGGTTACAAAATAATATCAGAGTTAACAAAAACAAGATGAATGGACGCACCTTAAATACTCTAACCCTAGAATTTAATATTGCATGGACAGGCCCAAGCCGTTTACATAACAGACCATACAAAAAGCCTAATGATGCAACATCTAATACCCAACAGAGATCCCTACCTCCATTCCTGTCATGGATGAATTCTTTGAAGACGTCTCTATCCCTTCACCCACTGCTCCTGTCTTAACCCCAATCACCATTGCTCCATGCCCTTCAATTTCCTTGGGCATTTCGCAAGTCCAAACCCCAATCTTCAATGATTCCACCGCCACCACCACTACCTCAAATGTTGATCCTCCAGTGTCTGTCAATGGATCTGATGCGGGGGCAGGTGCTTCGGGATTCACAGTCAGCTATTATACTCTACCCATCTCTACTATAAGACAAGGTGATGCCGATACCATATTTTGGTGGTGAAGAACAAGAATTTGAAGTGTTCCACTTCAGCCCTTTCTCTATTTAGGCTAACAATGAATATGATGCCCCTATCACTCAAGGGCAACTCAAATCAATAAAAAAGAAGTTGGATTCATTGCTTGAGTCAACAAAAGCTTCTTATAGTGATTCTTACTCCCAAGAGGCTGTTAAGGCTTTAATTAAGACTACATTAAAAGAACACGCCACAAATCTGGAGAAGGAGAACAAGGCTGTGGAGTATTCAGCTGTCACATGCAAAGAAGCGACCAAAAAAGTTGATAAACTAATTTCTGATGCTCGATCCTTCATGCGCACCTTCCAGAGCTCAAATGAGATCAATACTACGAAAGTAAATGCTGTTATCTCCAATCTCAGTTCCTCACTTAAGACTGAGATGGAAGCTCTTACGCATGTTCGCACTGGCCTTCAACACGACAACAACGAGTTTCAGAATACAATCTCCTCAAAGATTGATAAGCTTCACAACGAACTAGCCATGGAAAATAAAATTGTAGATCAGCTGGCTGCCAAAACAGGGAAGGTGAAGGTTCTCACCATCCAAATCAATCATGCAGACAAGGAGATTACGGAGCTTAATTCTAAAATAGCAGACATGAAGAGTTGTATTGCAGATGTCAACTCTCTACTCTCTAACATTATTGAAACTCGTGATCCACTAATCCCTATCACTGTGAAGAAACATTTGGCTGAAAAGCCATGGCCTGCATTCACAATTCTCAACCGGCTTGAAGGTGTTTCGGAGTCCACAGTCCTTCCATAACAAGGGGGAGAAACAACGAAAGATCAATCAATGAAGGAACCAACCTTGAAGGCCGTTGGTACTTCCCTTAAAGCATAACCGAAGGATAATGTAGCTTCGGCTTCTAAAGTCAAGGAAAGCTTCATGAAGAACCAATAATCGATGATAGTGAAGAAGAAGATTCGTACGAACATGAGCTGAAAAGAAGACAAGATTGTGAAGCTAAAATGGACAAGCACCAAAGGATTGTTTGTGAGGTAGAGGAAAAAGAAAAAGCCAAATGCGAAGCTCAGGTCACATTGGAAAGTCATAAACTCTTATTTCCTTTGTGGACTTTAGAGCGGATTTTAAATGAGGCAGTAGATAATCCTAGCATTCACTGGATGAATCTGGTTGCCTCTTTTGATCTTGAAAACATGCTGGATTTGCAATTTGACATGCCTCTCACACCAAAAGCATTTCTGTTTTGTAGCTTTGCGGTAGTTGCGAATGCTTCAAATTCCGATACGGTGGTTGATAATCAATTCATGGAATTTTATTTGAAGCATGGCAAGCCTCAATTCTAGACGTGGAGTTCTCAGAAGATAACAACTGTGAAGGTTGTAGGGCCAGTACAAACAGAGAGCTTCCTAAATGCAAAATTAAAAACAACTTGAGGTTCTGAGAGTTCTGTCTTTGAGTTCTCTCTCGGTAATCTACCTTGTTTAAACCCCTATGACTGGATCACTCTGTTACATTTCTTGATGAAATATGAGAAGAAGTATGGTCCTCTTGTGGAGCACATGAAGCAAATGTTGGTTTCATACAGCTATGAAGTTGCAAAACAGGATGTTGAAATCACTTCTGTTCTGAAAAGAAAACCAACAGTCCTTCCTCATGCTTCTACAAGTGATGTCAACAACTGAGAATTAGGAAGATAGAGAAAGACAACTGATCCATGATGCTTTAGTGAGGAACCAAAGAACGCGGTGATTTCCAGAAATGTATGTTCGCTCTTCCTGATAAACACTTGTTCTCCACCGCTTGTTTGAATTATGTATTGGAGATTACAAGTTAGTGCAAGGCGAATGATGATACTACAAAGAAGAATTTTTTGGATATGATTCCCTAGTATATCGCTCTTTGCAGTAATCTTCTCAGTGTTATGCCCAAGCTCTTCAAGACTACGACGAAAACACACCAATGAAAGTCTCACTCCCAATCGACGCAAAGGGGGAGATTGTTGGGTATTTAATGTTGCATCTTAATGGGCTTTGTGATTAAGTCTATTTTGTACCGGGTAGGGCTTGTCCACCCATCATTTACTTTTAGGGTTTTACTATTTCAGATACATGCATGCATAGGGTATTTACTAATCGTGTCATTATAAACCCTACATAGCCTCTATAGTAGCAGTTCTTTATCAAGCTCTTCTGAGGCTGTGACTTTTAATCATTCAACACATTCTTGATTCATATTCTGTGTTTGATTGTTTTTACTTGTTTGAATCTATTCGATCTATTGAGTTTTAAACTCAACACTTTATGTCAAAGAGATCTTAGAGGAGTCCATATCTGAAACCATGTCCTTGTGACAAGCTCAAACCTGAATATGACTCCATCTTGCGCTAGAAATGACTATTTCTTTCCCAAAGGAAGATCTAAACAATGAGAAGCCAAGGTATTAGCTTTTTACCTCTAAAAGAATACCAAAACGCAGTAGATGTTGGATCTACAAGCTTCCTCCCGTTCCAAGCCTCAAAATCCTAAAGCCTCTGGGAGTTGGGATGTTACAATTCTCCCCCACTTGAACTAGACTTCATCCTCGAAGTCCGCTGTAGCAAACAGATCTAGGTAATGCTCTCGCATTTCAGCCTCCGCCTTCCAAGTCCACTCAGATCCCCTCCTGTGCTCCCATTATACCTTTACCAAAGGCACCTCCTTGTTCCTTAGAACCTTCACTTTCTGCTCCATAATTGCCACATGTCTCTCCACATAATTCAGACACTCATCAACCTGAATATCATCAAATGACACTACCACCTCCTCATCACGTATGCACTTCCATAACTGGGAGACGTGAAAACTGATATGAATCTGACTGAGCTCCTCTGGGGGATCCAATCTATATGCCACTTTTCCAACCCTGGAAATAACCCGAAAGGGAACAATGTATCAATGACCTAACTTTCCCATCCTCATGAAACGGATCATGCCCTTCCAGGGTGAGAACTTCAGCAATATAATGTTGCCAACCTGGAACTCTAACTCAAAACAGCATCGGTCGTCATAACTCTTTTGCCGAATCTAAGTAGTCTGCAACCGCTGATGAATCTGTTGAATCTTCTTAGTAGTCTATAGGACTACCTCGGTCTAACCCATCACCCAGTGGCTACCCTCGCCCCAACAGACCGGGGTATGACATCTCCACCTATACAACATCTTAAAAGGTGGAGCACCAATGTTGGAATGATAATTGTAAGCAAACTCTGCAAGGTGTAGGTGGGAATATCAGCTCCCACCGAAGTCAATGATGAAGGCCCTCAAAATGTCCTCGAGGGTCTGTATTGGCCGCTCACTCTATCCATCGGTCTGTGGATGATAAGCTATACTAAAATGCAGTCATGTGCCCAGCTCCTTGTGGAACTTCTGCTAGAAGCGGGAGGTGACCCTAACATCACGGCCGGAAACAATTGATCTCGGAACTCCATGGCCAGCAACAATCTCACAGACATACACGTGGGCCAGCTTCTTGGACAATGAGCTCTCCCGAATGGGCAGGAAATGGGCACTCTTGTTCAATCGATCCATGATGACCCATATAGCATCAAATCCCTTCGTCGTCCTCGGCTACTTGGTAATGAAGGCCACCGTGATCTGTTACCATTTCCACATGGGAATCTCTAGAGCCTGAAACTTTCCATGCGGCCTCTGATACTCGGCCTTGACCATCTTGCAGATCACGCACCTCTCGACATATTAAGCGATTCATCGCTTCATGCATGGCCACTAGTAACTCATACTCAAATTTCTTAACATCTTGGTGGCCCCGAGGTAAATAGAGAAGCGAGACATATGAGCCTCCTCCATAACCATCTGTCTGACCCCACCAGACATTGTAACCCATACTCAACCACATTAGGTCAATAATCCCCGGCTATCCTGCACAAATTGGGTGTTCTCGCCCTAATCCTCTCAAGTTTCCAGTTCTCCTGTCGCATACCCTCAGCTTGAGCTTCCCTAATCAAGCTCACGAGTGGAGAATCCACAGATATCTTCATACATGCAGCTGGAGCAGAAGATCCAACTGACTTGCGACTCAAAGCGTCTGTAACCACATTCGCTTTACTAGGATGGTAAAGGATCTCGCAGTCATAATCCTTGAATACGTCCAGCCACCTACAATGTCTCATGTTCAGGTTCAGCTGATCCATGATGTGTCTCAAACTCTTATGGTCCATGGATATGGTACAGTGAACCCCGTAGACATAGTGTCTCCAAATCTTGAGAGCAAATACTACTACTCCCAGCTCCAGGTCATGTGTAGGATATCTCGTCTCGTGCGGCTTCATTTGTCATAATGCATAAGTTATCACCCGTCCTCTTTGTATAAGGACTGCTCCCAATCCGATGATCGATGCATCACAGAATACCACGAAATCCTCAACTCCCTTTAGGAGTGTCAAAACTGGCGCCTCGCAAAGTCGTTGCCGCAAAATCTTGAATGCAGTCTGCTGCTTAAGGCCCCACTGGAACTCCACCCCCTTCCTCGTCAGACGAGTGACGGGTACCTTAGTCTTGGAGAAATCATGTACGAATCTCTTGTAGTACCCCCACCAATCCTAAAAAGCTCCTGATATCCGAGGGAGATTTTCGGAACTTCCCACTGCATAATCGCCTCAATCTTGGCGGGATTGACCAAAATCCCCTCTTGGTTAATGAGGTGTACAAGGAACTTAACCTCTTGTAACCAAAACTCACACTTTGAGGACTTGGCATAAATCCGCTCTCATCTCAAAACTCCCAATAGCTCACAGAGATGCTCTTCATGCTACTCTGTAATCTTGGAATACACCAATATGTCATCTATGAACATAATGACCAAGCGATTGAGCATCGGTCTGCATACCTGATTCATTAGGTCCATAAATATAGTTGGCGCGTTGGTGAGCCCAAACGGCATCACCATGAACTCGTAATTTCCATAATGAGTCCGAAACGCGATCTTCTCCACATCCTCCTCCTTAAACCTAACATGATGGTAGTTAGACCTCAAATCTATCTTGGAGAACCAAGATGCTCCCTGCAACTGATTGAAAAGATCATCTATCATCGGGAGTGGATAACGGTTCTTCACCATCAAATTGTTCAACTCCCGGTAGTCAATGCACATCCAGAGTGAACCATCTTTCTTCCTGACGAAGAGAATCGGCGCTCCCAAAGGAGAATGGCTCAGACGAATGAACTACTTACCCAAAAGTTCTTGTAACTGATATAATAACTCATGATTCTCTAGTGGTACCAATCTGTATGGCGCCTTGGCGATAGGGGCCGCACCCGGCACTAGGTCAATCCTGAACTCGACCTGCCTCTCCGGAGGCACTCCGGGTAACTCCTCCGGAAACACATCAGCGAACTCTATCACAACCAGAACATCTGAAATCGAAACCTGATCCCTGACCCGTATATCCACCATATATACTAAGTAGCCCGCACACCTATGTTGAATATACTATAGATCCCTGGCAGCCAAGCAAAACCCTGAACCCAATCTGGTGCCCTCGTTGTAGATAATCAGTTCTCCCCCACTTGGGGTTTGAACTATTACCCGCTGACCTTCGTAGTCGTTCATGGCACTAAAGCAACTAAGGCAGTCCATACCCACAATCACACATACATCCCCCATGGGAATCGGAATCAAATCTATCGGGAATGATACCCCGATAGCCTAAATAAGTGGAAACCCCGAGTTCATTGGCGATAGAGACTCGCAACAAACACTCTAGCTCTCCTACTAACAAACCGAACTCCCTACCGAATGAATAAGAGACAAATTACCAACTAGTCCTCAAGTCAAATAATACCAAAGCAGGTAAGGAGTTCACTAAGAACGTACCTAATCATAGGTACAAACATATATACATAAAGCATATACAATATATAAGATAAAGGATAGAAGCATACCAGCAACCACATTCGGTGCTATCCTGGCCTCCTTGGCTGTAAGCTGGAAGGCACACCCCCGAGACTTCGGAGGCTCTACTCTACCCTGACCCGCATCATTAATCCTCAGTGTAGCCAATGTTGGAGCCTATGTTGGTCTACCAACGAGCTGTGTGCAGTTGGTCTTCACGTGACCAACCTGATTGTAGTGATAACAGATCCTCATATCCTGAACCGGGGTTGGCTGGTGGCAGTCCCTTGCAAAGTGCCCCTCTTTTCCGCACTTGCAGCACGCACTACCAGATCTACAAACTCATGAATGGACCTTCCCGCACTTCCCACAAGTGCGATAGCGCTAGCCCCCGTACCTAGAATCAGCGGTCTTGGGCTGCTTCAGCGCAGGCTGTGACTGCGTCGGGGCCTGC